TAGACATGGATTTCGTACGTCTGATCATCTGCTCTTTCTTAAAACATTGATAGACTCTTATAAATTAAGACGGAAACCCATGTTTGCATGTTTTGTTGATTTCAGGAAAGCATATCAGATCTGGCGAGGTTTATTTTTTAAACTGATAAACTACGGATGTAACAGAAAATTTCTCACAATTTTACTGAACATGTATTCCTCTGGCTCTGCACTTAAATCAGCGGTTGAGCTTGAACAAGGTGTCACCCCATTCTTTCATGCAATCTCGTATTGCGGGAGTGAAATAAGCGGGATGTAATCTAAGTCCAACACTGTTTAACCTCTTCATCAACGATATACCTAATTTGTTTAATACTACTTGTGAACCTGTGATGCGGTTTGGAGACAATGAGTTAAGTTGTTTATTGTATGCCGACGACTAGTTGGTGATGTCAGAATCAGAATCTGGGCTGTAATACTGCCTTCAAAAGCTTCAATTACAGTATATACTAAGAAATGGAAATTACAAGTTAATCTAAAAACCCCGAAAATGCTGACCAGCTTTATCTCCACCATGGTTCTTCGGGGTTCCAGTTTTATTATATGGTTGTGAAATCTGGGGTGTTGCAGTTGAAATTTTTTAAACGTATACTCAGAGTTCACTCAAAAAGTACAATTAGGTAGAGAGTCTCTCTAATAGTACAGATCTGTATACTCTAGTGAAAAAGTATTGGATACGAATTGAAGCTCCGAATTATATGAATACTCTTGACTTGTAGGAGAGGCAGCGAGTTTTAATATCCGATCGAATACTCAGGCAGTTAACTTCACAAACTATATATTAAAACTATGTGATCTGGGTTCACTAAATGGTATTTCTCTCCCACTTGATAGTCTACATAATGTAGGTACATATTTAAAAATAGATTATTTACTTACTTTACTCATTTCTGCATGGAAAGATCAGATTGAACAAAGTCGCTATAGTGGTAAATTAAGAACTCTCGCACAAGTTAAGAATAATTTTGTATTTGAAGAATACCTCCATGAAAAATGTAATGTTAAACATCGGCAAGCAATAACAAAAATGAAAATATCTGCGCACAAACTACCGGTTGAATCTGGCAGATATAATAGAAGACCATACGAAGAAGATATGTCAATCGAATGAAATTGGAGATGAATTTCACTACTTATTGCATGCTCCAACCGAAACATTTCAGAAACTCGAAACACTTTTTTAAACAATTTATATGGTATCAATAGTTCTTCCGCTTATTTGATATTATCATTCATAATATATAAAAAATGTAAATGCATGTAAACACACTCGAAAGCGAATAAACTCTTTAGCAAAGCATAATATAAGAAAGACAATATACAACAAAATCAGTTTATTAAGCCGTTAAGATTTATCAAATGCGGAGCAAAAATACACGTCCATGCACTCTCTTCAAGAGGCGATTAGATTATGACTGGTACAATAAATATTTCAAATATAACTCCTACTTACCACAACCTTGAAGTCGTTCATGTTAGGTCTGTCACGAGCGACGACGTTGTCACGTGTCAACTGTCAAAGATGGTATTGGTGAAGCAGTTACCAATGTTGGTAACATTGTCAGAATGATTGCCAGATACATTTGTATCCTTGTCATGTTAAAACGTCTTGTTCTACCTTACGGTATCGTTGTACTAGTTGCAATGATTAATTAAAATTCCCGTGCTTCCGTATATGTATACTAAATAAACACTTCGGTCCTGAAAGGTGATCATGGTGACCGTCAAAACATCAAAACACTAAACTGTTTGTTTGCGATCTTTGTTTTTTTTTCTCAAGATCAGTCTGCGAGATTCGACAGTACACGTGCTTTCGGAAACTATATATACGTCACCTGGCTCGGCTATATAGCCTTTTTTTCGATATACACGATGGCTATTGAGCCAATCGGTACATACTTTCTAGAAGGGTTGTATTTCAATGTTGAAGTGTGTAGAGGAGTTGAGACCGAGGTAAAATATTATTTGACTCCAATTTATTTGATAATTTGTTTTATTATTGTGGAGTGTCTGTCATTACTTCCAACTGTCGCAACAAAACAACCAGTTTTATTCATCACGACAGACAAATTACGATATAAGCAGTTTCATTTGACATTTGTCATTTGTCCACAGGCGTTAATTACTTACAAATGGTTACAGAAGCGCCGGACATTGACGAGTGTCACCAATTAATAAAAACCCAGCATTTAGGATATTCATCCAACACACACGGCATCATAATGTCGTACACATTGAATCCAAACAGACCGGAAGCTGATAAGAATATAAAAATTATCTTTTCATAGAAACGAGCTTGCAAAATATAAATAAATAGATTTGGTACGCTTAATATTATGTTAATTAAGCCATTTGTTTATAGCATTTGTCATGTTGTAAAATTTGTACATGCATGCAGTATATATACTGAGAATTTAATGAATACTGAGAAGAAAGTGGGGTTTTTTCATTTCTCGTTCAGGAGATAGAATGCGATTTTATGACGTGTTTAAAATCAATTGTTGAGACCATTGGCATTGCAAATTTCAATTCCTTTGTTTGTAGTACGCTGTAAGTAAGGGTTTTGCATTCTGCCTATACTGTATGATCAAACGTTACCACTTGCGTTTCTGACGTTTTCGTTCGTCTCAAAAAAAGACTACTACTTGTTTTCTACCAGAGACCTCATGTCTGCTAACAGTTTAATATCAATCTCATGCAGTTGATGCATTTTTATAGCAGAAATAAACATACGGAACACTTGCGGTTTGTATAGCTTACAGTAATTGTTACATGGTAATTATAATAATCCCGGTAGTAATTAGCAGTTATTGCTGGGCTCATAGAACTACAGGAAATAATAAAAGCGAATCCGAGATTCATGTAATATTGTAGTGTTGGTTACATGTGTTGAGGATGCTGACTGCCACTTCTTGACATACCTGGCTATGATTGTGTTAAGGCTGGTTCACATTGATCGTAAACATCGGCGATGCCCATTGTCGGTGGTCATTGATGCATAATTTGTTTTGTGCATTTTCTTCTTCGTCGCTCACAGACAATGGATCGTAGAACATCGCCGATCAATGTGAACCAGGCTTTAGTAAAGCTATAGACTTACCGCGGGCAAGGGTGGAGGAGTGGCAGCATATGTCTCTGATAATATTACATGGATTCGGCGTAACTATTCAGATGATGAGGCTATAGAATGTATCTGGTTGGACATCATCCTTAAAGCCTAGTTCTCATTCATCGCAAACTGTCACCGACGATCGGCGACGCTTATCGCCGATGCTCGCCGATCGCGGATGTACGAAAGTTCTCATACATCGGTGAACGTCGCAGATGACAGCCGATGTGTTTCGAAATTTCCCACCAAGGCACAAAATGGTCCCGTTCAACGTAAAGTTCATGATTTATGTCAAACTCCAGTTGATTATTTCCTTGCTTGTTGAGGAAAAAACAACTTTTACTCATTTCTCATAGATTTTTCAAGCAGGTGGCAGTCGGCGATGGTCGCAAGAAACAAACTTTTTTGTTTCCTGCGATGTCATCGCCGATGGTCGGCGACGATCACGGACAATCGGCGATGTAATTTTTGATGTGTTCTCATAAATCGCAAGCGGTCGCCGACGTCGCAAAGCTCCCATCGCCGACGGTTTGCGATGAATGAGAACTAGGCTTAAAGCCTAGTTTCCATTTGGCCGTTAGTTGTCGCTGGCACGACAAGCGGTAGATGTGAAATAGTCTAATATAATAATAGTCTTTTTGTGTGATATGCAAATCAGTCTTAATGATTGCAGAGTTTTATAAAGTTTTGTTGACACTCTATTACATCAGCCACTTGTCGTGCCAGCGACAACTGGAAACTAGGCTTAAACATGGACCGGACAGTTCAAAACATTTAAGCCCGCCACACACGAGCGCACTTGTCGCGCGTGCTTGTTATTCGTGACAAGTTGGATCGACAAAATTTCCTCGTGTGCGGGCAACATTTACGGCATTTTCGTCATTCGTAAACCAAATATCAAACATGTTTGATATTTTTCGTCATTCGTGACAAAAAAATTCTCGTGAGCACGTTACCTTGCTCGCCGCACACGAGAATTTTTTTGTCACGAATGACCAAAAATATCAAACATGTTTAATTTAATTTTAATTTATTAACTTTGCCAGATTTAAACAACGTTAACACAAAAAACTGGCAGGGCAATCGCAACAGCTTGCGCCAATTACTGCGATCCCTAAATGTTAGACAAATACACTATATACGTACATAGAAAGAATCAATTACTAACGAACTATCAGATGCAACTTTTCACATTGCGACCCGCAGAACCACTTCCATTTTTGGAAGCTGACTGAGTCAGAAGACGTTTGAAACCCTCACAATCCTAAACCTTCAGCAAAACCCTGAATAGGCCCCATAGATACCAATGTGAAAAGGTACTTCTGAAAACTAAATCTAAAAACAACACGTTATCGGCCTTGTCAGGTCGCGAGCTTGGTTGCATTTTAAGCAAACCGATTTCCATGTTCGTGGATCGTCAACGTCATAACATTTATCTAGTGCTGTTTTATAATAGATTAATAACTTATTTTTAAAGTCCTTTAAAGTTGCCATGCTATTAATAGTTAAATCCATTGGCAGTGTGTTCCAGACTCTAGTAGTCCTTATTAGATATGATTTTTGATAGGTAGATGTTTTGCATGCTGAAGTCTGAAATTGTAGGCAGTTAGGGTTTGTAGATCGGGTACGTTGACTTGAATTTTGAGGGTGTGGTAGTATGTCGCTGCTTAGGTTAATAATGTCATGGTGTGATTTGAAAAGGAACAATATGTCTAGGTACTCGTGCCAGTAACACAGAGGTAGTAGATTTAATGTTGAGAGACGATGGTTATAGTTGATGTCACAGAAGAACGGTAGGTTCAATATGTACTTCGACGCACGTCGTTGAACGCGTTCTGTACGCTTAATGAGGTCAACAGTTTGTGGAGCCCAAACTTGGGACGCGTATGCGAGGTGAGAACGAACGAGGGTAAGATATAGAGTCCGACGAACAGAGATGGTCTTGATTTTGATCGTGGACCGTCGAATATACCCGAGGGATTTGTTGGCTTGGGCGCACTGGTGGAGGACTTGTTTCGACCATGTGAGAGTGGAGGAGGTCCAGACGCCAAGGTCACGTTCGCAATCTGTGGTTTTCAGAGCGGAATCTTGCAACTTGTAAGTATGGTCGATTTTGTTGCGTTTTCTAGTAATTCGAAGTGTCTTACATTTATCTGTGTTGAGGAGAAGATTAGCATTGGCAGAGGAGGTTTGGAAATTCGCAAGATCATTCTCCATAGCGGATGCATCTGCCTTCGCGTTTATCACCTTGTAAATCTTTGTGTCGTCAGCAAATGTCGCGATCTTCGAGTGGTTGATGGAGTTGGGGAGATTATTCTGATATAATAGGAACAACAGCGGTCCAAGGATTGAGCCTTGTGGAACTCCGGAGGTTACTGGTAGTGCTGATGATGTTGCACCAAGTACTGTAGTCTGCTGCCGACGGTCCTTGAGGTAAGATCTAAACCAGTTAAGAATATTGCCACCGAATCCAAAATCACGAAGTCGTTTCAACAGTTGCATGTGACTTACTCGATCAAACGCCTTGGACATATCCAAGTAGATCACATCAACTTGTTTCCCAAGATCCAGCTCACGACCAATATACTCAAAAACTTCAATGAGCTGTGTAACACAGGACTTCCGAGGAACAAAGCCATGTTGACCATTGTTAATCTGTTCGAAAACGTGGTCTTTGATCTTATTGAACACGCATCTTTCCAATGCTTTCGAGATAAGCGAAAGAAGCGAAATTGGTCGATAGTTTTCTACGTGCTCTTTGTTGTCTTTTTTGTGAACGGGAACAACATTTGCTAGTTTCCAGTCGCGTGGTAACACACCAGTGTTCAGAGATTTATTAAACAAGGCGGTTAGTGATGGAGCAATTTGGCGAGCTGTTTCTTTTAATAATCGTGCAGGAATCCCATCTGGACCTTGAGCTTTATTAATGTCGAGATTATGCAATACGGAGAAAACATCGGCTTCCGAAAGGGTAATGTCCTCGATGATAGTATTGTTAGACTGATATGGAAGAGCGTCAGAGCTGTAGTTTTCGATATTTGGATCGGTGGTAAATATAGATGTGAAGTAGTTGTTGAACAGCGCAGCAATATCTGCTGGATTTCCTGCGGATGTTCTTTTGGTTTCAGTTACTTTCACCGAGAGCTTTTGAGGAATGTTCCGTGTCTTATTATTGAACTTGAACAGGGACCAGAAGCGTTTGGGATTAAGTCCACGGCTGGAACAAATAGAGTCGAAATATTTGGAGCGACTGTTACGTAACATACTCTTGATGGAACTACGAAGGGTTTTGAATTTTTCCAGGAGATATTCAGTAGGTGTAGGGGATTTCTTAATTCTGAGGCGGAGAGAGTTTTTCTTCTTGATGTTGTGTAGAATTGTAGAATTCATCCACGGTACATAGTTGCGACCCTTTACTCTCACTGATGGTATGTGTTGGGATACTGCTTCTAGGAACGCCTTCTTCCATTGTTGCCAGTCGTGGTTGATATTGTCGTCGGTTGTAATCAGGGAATCCAGATTTAGACATTCAAGGGAAGTTCGCAAGCCAGCAAAATCACCTTGACAATAATTATAGACAGTTCTGCGTATCTTTGGTAGTTGATTATGACACATTGAAAGTTCAAACACAATAATTTTGTGGTCGGTGAAAAGTTCTGCTTGAGTGGGAGACAAAATTTCACATATTTTGACTTTGTTGGGAATATTGGTTAGAACGAGATCTAACGTGTTATTACCTCTAGTAGGCGCGGTGTTTAGTTGTTCCAAGAAATGGTCATGGAGCAGTTCTACGAAGGTATTTTCGTTACTACCTGATGTTTTCTCTGGCGAGTCCCATGATATACGTGGCATATTGAAATCTCCTACAAGCACAATGTTTGAGTGTTGTGAACAAACATCATTCATAAAGTTATTGAACTTGTCCAACCAGCTATGATCTGAGTTTGGTGGACGATAACAAGAACAAATTAATAAACTTGCGTTTGAAGTGGTTGTTATTTCAGCCATGGAGATCTCCAAATCATGACCATGTTGAATTTCCCGCACTGATTTAAATGAAGAAATCTTTATCGCTAACAGTACTCCACCACCACGAGATCCGCGATCGTTCCTGAATATGTCATATCCCGAATGCAGAATTTCAGAGTTTTTAATATCCTCATTAAGCCACGTTTCGTTGACACAAAAGATATCGGGATCTTCAGAAGAGACCAAGTTCTGGAAGCGTTCAATGTTAGTATCTGTCAAATTGTTTCCGATGTTGGTTTTATGTAAACTCATCAGACTTCGAGCATTGAGTGCGAGACATTTTACGAACTGGTTTTCACGATTCGTGTGTTTGTAAGGTCCAGGATTCATTGCGATATCTCCGGCAAGCAAGAGTAATAGACGCATGTGAGATCTTGCGGTTAATTTGTAAGTTTAAGCCGTAGCGATGCTGGTTATTGCATGGTAAGTTATACTTTCTGAAAACAACATCACGGGTGGAAACCCAAACATAGTATAGTTTTTCGGGCAGAGAAACAAGTTCGAAGCAGATTAAAATGTTTTCTGATGTAATTTGGGGCTTATTAGCGTCTCGATTAACTTTCACAGACAGTTTCAAAATTGAAAAAAGAAGTAACATGTTAATTATGAAGCGTCCAATCTTAGCTAGACTTTTCTTTCCATCTGAAGTGTTTTTTAAAACCATTTCTGAATTCAAAGTTTACACTCACGTGATTTATTCTGTTTGTATTAATTTATTGAACTCGCGTACACACGTAAAAACGCACAACTTGTAACAAACCTGCAGCAGACTTGTAGCAAGTCTGCACCAACAACTTGTTCACAAGATGTGCTCGCACTGGTTGTCCCAAGCTTGTTGTGACAGACTTGTAGCAACTTGTCGACGGACTTGTAGCAACTCTGTCGTGACGATGCTGTAGCAAGCTTGTTGGCATCAAGTTTGTAGCAAGCTTGTCAACTGACTTGGAGCAAGTTTGTTGGAACAATGCTGCAGCAAGCTTGTCAAATTCAATCCGTAACAACCTTGTTTCATCAAGCTTGTAACAAACATGGCGACTCGTGAAAAATCCCGCGGGTAAAAAAAACACGCGTGTGAATATCACTTCGCGTGTTTTCCCGGGGGGTGTCAACAATAAAAAATAGACAACACAAGTTTGGTGTAAAAAATCGTATATTCTGAAAAGAACATACAAGGAATCAAGGATTAGTAAATAAATACAAACTACAGAGTTAAAGTACAAGGTAAGATTGTTATAAACATATATTTAGCATGCATTAGAACAATAAGCTGCATTTTCTGAGTCAGTATATAAATATAATACTGAAAATAAAACATATTCCTAAATTGAAAACACTTCTATTTTGAGCAATATTTATATTTATAAACTACATATATAAACATATCGTCAGACTGTCATTTCAAAATTTGTTATTGTTGTCCCAACAGAAACCATGGCAGCATTTTATCAATTTATATAACCTGGTTGTGTGATGTTACTCTGATTGTATATCCACACCGGGCAGGCCTGAAAAGTGAAAATATGCCTGGCCAGGGTGGGAATCGAACCTATGACCTTTGAAATATTAGCCCGATGCTCTGCCAACTGAGCTATGCGGTCAAGATGGTTCGAGTATGCAATATTTCGGAACTGAGTCTAGTTCCTTCGATATCAGTGTAATCTAATAATCATGATATTTGCTGTGTTGGTGTAATGTACTCAGGTGAATCAGATGCTTGTGTGATGTTACTCTGAGTGTATATCCACACCGGGCAGGCTCGAAAAACACTCAGAGTAACATCACAGAAGCATCTTATTCACCTGAGTACATTACACCATCACAGCAAATTTAGATAACCATTACTCAAGTACTTAATTAACTACTATTTGACATATTTGTGAGATGATTTTACTCAATGGGTTCATACTCATGGATTTTTTATTAATTTCAATCCTGAGCCATGTCGGGAATGTATTTCCATGTCTCACCAAGATAAAATCTGTTTATCAGATATGTTTTGTTAGCCATATCATGCTGAAAGACACACCTTTCTGTTGTTACCATCTCTCTTTCTTCAGCACAGTGATGATCAGTGATGGTGAAGGCACATCTGTGATCGCAGTTGTGGACCATGTTGACCTTCTCCAACACAGCGTTGGCTCTAACAAGCGCCTTTCCTTCTGTTTCCTCAAGAATGGGAGATCGAAACTTCCCATGAAGAACATCACCATCAGCTGCTCTTAGAGGGGTGTATGGTGTTAGCAGAACCCAATTTGCTGGCTGTTCTTCGTGGGAGAATTGCACTGATGTGCAAAATCGTCCAAAACATATCTGAAATGCAATGGTATGCTGTTGAAATTTTTAGCTGTTAAATATTCTGTTGACCCTACAGTTACATTTTAATAAACCTTATAAATGCATTATGATGTATTCTTATTGTTCGTGGCCATTATAATCAGAATGCTTAGTGAGTTTTTAACAGAAAAAGATAGCAAATACATGCTAAGCATTCTGGTTGTAGTGGTCACACACAGCAAGAATATTTCATAATGCATAAGGCC